CTCTGCCTCTTCTTTGATGTCTTAAGGAATAGTACAGACTCTTCCCAAATCTAATTTATGTGTCATCTTAGATCAGATTCTTCAGAAACAGAGCCTGAAAGTGATTCCAATGTATACGATTTATTGCGAAATCATTCTCAGAAGGGAAGCACGTTAGAGTAGCAAGCGGGAAGCTAAGCAAGGATGTGGTCTCAAATGGATACTAACTTCAGCCTGATCCCACTCATGGGGAGCTACAGAGCATATCCTCCCCGAAGGGAAGGGAGCCAAATTTTTGTATCCCTATTGTGGTCACTCATTGACGGCAGGCTGCTGATGGCAGAGTGGGGATTCGTTCAGCCTCCTGGGGTAAGAGTAGGTCTCTCAGAGCTGAAGAGCAGCACTTCTGAGAAAGGGGCAGCTGAGAAGCATTAACAGGTAACACTTACAGGAGGTGGGGAATTGGTAAACCCAGGTAAAAGGGATCTGGATAGGACACCACAAATATTTACCACATAGATGCTTGGGTTCTCTGTTCATGCTTCTGGATAGCAATTCCATCCTTGTCTCAGGTGTGAACTCTCATCTCTAATCCCTGGCCTCACAGAATCATACTCTTTGACCGGCCAGCTTCCCATTTCCCACCCAGCCCATGGGTAAATCAAATCGAGCAGCTATATTTGTCGGATCCCAGATAGTTGGCAGAGGAGTATCAAACCCATGAATGATCCTGCTCAATTGAATATATTTCTATTTTAGGAACATTATTTTTTGCTCTTTTTCTTTTTAAAAATAAAGGGATTGATTGGATTATTTTTAAACTCTGTTCCAGTTTTAAAATTCATTTGGCTAATGATTTTGTTCTGGAAGGTAGTTGTGCTCACATTTCCTCTGGGGATGGATAAGTTTCACAACACTGAATAGAAACTAGGTCTCATGTTGTTAACATAAGTCAGTTGTTGACAGAAAAGTTTTACCATTTTAGCCCATGACCAGGAATTCACTTCCATTTGATTTGATCATAGTGTTCTTTTCTTTCTGTTTTTCTTTTTTTTTAATCTTGTCTTTTTTTCCCCCGCCTTTTTTTTTTGCAGTACTGGAAATTGAACCTAGGGCCTTTGCACTGAGCTACATTTCCAGACCATTTTTAAAAATTTGTATTTTGAGACAGAGTCTCAGTCACTATGTTGCCCAGGCTGAGCTCAAACTTGAGATTCTCCTGCCTCGGTCTCCCAGAGTATTGGCAATGGTTCATTTGGCAATAATAATAATCCATGTCAGGTATTTGCCACACAAAGATGGACAGACAACATCATTCTATATTAGGACTTAAGGAATCTGCCAGAAACTTAGATAAGACATCACAATCATCACGGAATTGTCTCTATATGACCTACTAGCCTCAATAACAAGGTAATATTGAAAAATTCGTGATGTAAACTGTTGATGGCAAGGTTCCCTAGTAGATATTGGTCCTTTATGTGAATTAAAACAAAGCACTCATTCAGGCTTATGAAATGCTGGAAAAGTGTCCCCTCTGAGTAAACAAGTTACAGCAAAAGGCACTCCTTCCTCCTGGCTGGAAAGCCTAGTGGAAGACACAAGACTTGCTAACTGAAGTGCAGTGCAGAGCATGTTTAAACTTTAATCACATATCAACTGTTTCTGTTGTACAGGATGTGCCAAACAGCGAAAGAGAGACCACCTAAGCAGGCTAAGGCACAGAATTTATTTACCTGGGTGGAGGCGGACTGACGGCGAGAGGCCCATCAGTGACAAAACACAGGCAGGGAGCCTCGTAGGGGATTAGGAGAGGGGTCTGGCACATCTGTCACATACAGGGTTTGGAGCAATTATTTGTGGCCGAGGTCCATGCAACAGTGAAAGCAGATGCATTGATGTTATCAGGTCACTAAGCTCCAGGAAGATGCTGTCCTGTACTCTGCAGTCTTATCTCCTTTCTATAATATCCCTTTCTGTGTTCTATCTTCTAGGAGACAGCACAGCCTGAATCTGGTTTGGGGGAGAGGTGTGTCATGCTGAGGGCTGTGGGTTTTTGTATCTGCTAAACTGTAGCATGGAATTAAACAACATATTCATTAACCATGTCATGGCCAGATCAGGCCTGACACAAGACACAACTTGCATGGCAGTATGGTGTATTCCTAGTTGTCAAAGCTTGGTCACTCGGACTTGACTAGTCTCCCACTATGCGGTATGACCCTTCTTATTTGTCAAAAGGCATAGATATCCCAAACTGCTGAGTGGTACTGTGTCACAAAGTATGCCTCTACTACTTCCAGATAAGATACTGATGAGCTTCCAAGACCAAAAGACCAAAAGGATGTGTTCTAGATACCCTCTCCATTTATATACTTCACTCATTTTTATGTCATGAGAAGACTTGTCCTGCAACTTTGGCAGTGGACCAAGGGGCCCTTGCCATTTCAACTGAGGTTCTAGGGTTATTGCATAGGAAGTCTAACTTGGTATTGCCACCCTGATCCTCTGTGCCTATCTTCCTACCCAGGGAGTTTACAACAGCCAAATAATTAGTACAATGTATAGTAGAAACATCTGACGTTGAATTATTTTTCTAAAGTACCTGGAAATTAATCACCAAAAAAATGAAAACCAATGAAAAGTCTTCCTTAACACTGAAATCATTAGTGTAAGCACCTGTGGTTTCTATTCCCAATGTTACAGAGGAAAAAGCCTGGAAGAAAAGAATTATTGGGCCCGTCATATTAATTAAATGGATAGAATTTCATATATACCCCGAGGACTAAAGGGTCATGGCTAGTTTTTGTTAATCTCGGGATTGCAGTAGTTACATAAGAAATGAGGGAAGACAGTGCAAGAAGAAAGACTTGATAAAAATAGCTTTGCAAAAATTAAAGCCAAACTTTCCTTTGCTGCTTTCTTCCCCTAGTCATATAAATAACATCTTCTTTAGAGGAAGGATAGGACACCACAAATAGTTAAAAATTTTAAAAGCAAGTAAAGTCCTTTTGGGTTGGTTTGAGAAGGATATTGATTTTTATTTAAATAAAAAAGAAAGCAGGGCCGGAGATTTAGCTCAGTGGTTCCACTGCCTGCCTCACAAGCTCAAGGACCCGAGTTCGATCCCCGGTACCAAAATAAATAAATAAATAGCCAGGTGTGGTGATGCATGCCGGTAATCCCAGCACTTGGGAAGCTGAGGCAGGAGGATCACTGTGAGTTCGAGACCAGCCTGGGCTATATAGTGAGTTCCAGGTCAGTCTCAACTACATAGTGAGACCCTGTCTCAAAAAACAAAAAACAAAAAAGAAAAGAAAAGAAAAGAAAAGAAAAGAAAAGAAAAGAAAAGAAAAGAAAGCTTTGGGGCTTTCTTAGGAAGAAATAACTACCATTTGGCAAGAAAATCATTATAGATTCTTTCTGATTCAAGGAAGAAAAATATATCATTCCTTTGATTCAAAGAACATCCAGGAGAAGCTATGAGAGCTCATGATCATGTGAAAACATTTGGTCCTGTCTATGAAGGCAGTTTGGAGACAAGGCACCACAATCCACATGGAACCCTCTGGTTAAATCATTCCTATACTCTGCTCAAAGAAGATATTCCACTCGACTACACTCTCTTTCTTAAGTGCTTCCAATAAATTACCACAGATGTGAAAATCACCTTTGACATTTCCTGGAAAAAATTGATCTTTTCTGTAATATCATGAGTCCTCCCCCAGAACATGCTTTATTGCATCTTCACTGCAAATGTAATTTGTAGTTCATATCATGCTTACTCATTTAAGTCATCGTTGTCTTTGGGAGAATGTCAGTCAACCAGGTGGAAATGTTCTACTAGTAAAGGTAGAATATAAAGGAAATGACATTATTTTGCTGTCTGTAAACTGTACTATTTTTAAAAGGTTCTTCCTTTAACATTTAAAATTATATCATATAAAGAATGAGAAATTAGATTCATTCGTAGGAAAATAGATACATATTGAGGATATACGCCAAAGTGAAATAAATAAGTCACACATGTGTAAATACCGAATAGTTTCTCTGGTGTGAAAAACTATAATGGTACACAAGATCCTAATGGGATAATTAAGAGTGTGAAATAGGAAGAAAAGGGCTAAAGGAGTAGAGAAAGTGGGAAGGGTAGGGGAAATGTAATAAGGGAAAAGAAAAAATATGAGAAAATGAAAAAATGGAAATAAAGTGTTTGTAAATGGGGAAGAGAGAAGGGGGTGAAGGGAGGGCAGGGACAAAGGGAAAAAGTGAGAACCAAGACCTGTCATGTAGAGGTACAAGATCCCAATAATGAACGTAACTGTACTGTATACCTAAAATGTACCAATAAACTCAATGAGGAAAAAAATAAATAAAATTATATCATAATAATTCAACAATACAAATTGTGGTTACCTACAAGAGAAATCTAATTTTAATTGCACTGTAAGAATTTGAGAGTGCAAATTTTAGTTATACCTAAGACAAAATGGCAGAAAAAGACTGAAAAAATGTGAAAAGTAGTAGATTTATGGAAATATCTAGTGTGTAGTATGAGTAAATGCATAAGAACAGGTGTGAAAAAATTAAATTGATCCTACTCAGAAAATGAACCTAGGAAATGTTATTCTCTAACAGATCTTACTTTCCTAGCTAGATGTCCGAGGTACACTTGCTAACAAAAGCTTTGCTGCATGTGCAACATTAAGTGCTCATTACAGAGAAGATATGCATACACTTGAAGGACTCTTTCTCTTTCCACAAGTGATAGTAAAAAATTCTATTTGGGTTTCAGTGATAGCTGTTTGCTAAGACTTCGTCATTGGCCTGAAAACTGTACATCTACAAAATATATCATTTGGCTTCCTTGTTTGTCCTGGGGAACACGAAAATAGACCAGTTCTGACTGCCTGGTAAATGTTTACTCATAAATTAGTATAGGTGATCATTTTTAAGGCAATAAGCACAGATTACAGTTAATGACTTAGATATTATACACTATGAACACAGTATTTGATGTCTAGTTGAAGCAAATGCATATGATAATGAATGTGACACCCAAATGTGATTCACAAATTGTGAATTAGAGACAGAGACAGAATTTAAACCAAGTCAAGCAATGTATTACAGGTCCTTAGCACTTAAGGGCTTCAGGATGATCTCACAATGACAAAGCAGTATCGTACAGTTCACCCACACCATGTATTAGGGATTTGTTTCTGCCTAGATTCTCTTGTTCCTCCCATATAAACTGACTCATTCTGTTCCCGGAGAACACTGTTTTCCTCTTGCCACGTATCATAACATCAAAACTTTGGCTTCTGGAGTTCAGGTGAGTAATCTGTCAGCAGGGACACCATGACAGCCTGAGATGACAGAACAAAAAAAGAGAATGAAAGAAATGAATAAGCATCAGCAACAATTTGCTTTGGGACCTAGAGGAGGGGAGCTAGGCTTCAGTTTTGGTGACCTACAGTGAGAATGTTTCTCCAGGGCTGGGGACTTAGCTCATTTGTGCCGCTGCCTGCCTTACAAATGCATAATCCTGAATTTGATCCCCAGTACCAATAATAATAATAATTATTATTATTATATGTACATAAATTTCCCAAGCAAATTATAAGGGGACAGTTCTGAACTAATGTTTAGTTTTATTCGGATAAAGGAAAGACCTGAGGGATCAGGCAGATCTAAAGAGATGCACAAAGACCAGGCTTACTTAGGTCTGATTCCAGAACTAGTGGGTTAGAGAGGTGAAATATGATGGTACAGTGATTGCCATGATTTGATTTTCTAGTCATATGTTAAAACTCAGGTGTTGGCTGCCTTGAAAGGCATATGATCCCTCCTACCCTAGTTCTTCAGGTTTATACAGTGGTCTGGTCACTTGCAACATGGAGAAATTTAGAATACATCAGATGTACAGCAACAAAAGTAAACCATTTGTGCTGAGGAATATCTGCTACCTGAATTTCTGCCCTCTTGAAAGAGCACGAACTTATAGCCAACAGTATAGCTTCCTCTTGGACTGTCAGTCACAGATAGTAACTTTGCTTTTTATTCTTCCCAACCTCCAAAGTAGTGGCAATAGTAATAGTTTTACCAATAGAAATGTTGAACATATATTGAGTACTAATTAGATATCAGATGCCTTATCATGTGTTAGTCAAGAAATATTTGCCAGGTGCTCTTCCAAGTACTTTGGTGAGTTAGAGAGAAATGTACTACCTCATCTAATCCTATAACCTTTTGAGGTTGCTTGGTCATTATCATGTATAGATGAGGAGATCTACCCTTGAAACAATACATTTTACATACATGGGCTGGAACCAAATTTCTCTGACTTCACTCCTAAGAGATAGTTTTACTACCTCTCAAATACTTGCTCTTCTACTTCAACCATGGTGTACAGGTATATTCAGTCTCCACAAGAAGGCGGCTTATGTTTCATAGGCATTCATGAAATGTCTTTATGAAACAGTTATAATATGCCAGGCCTATGCTGTGTGTTTTTTGTGCACCATGCCTTTAATATCATTTCCTAGTGTAGGAAGTGTTAAGAGAAATAAAATACAGATGAAGAAACTGAAGTTTAGGAATTTTCCTGAGTGGTGATGGTAAGAGGTGGATCTTCCCTGCCTGTCCCTAGAATCTGATCACTATGATCAGATGACTTTTACATCATCAAATCCTCCCAACCTTATGAAGTTGTTCCTGTTTTATCCTTGCTTTTCTTATGAATAAACATAATGAAGCCGGGCTTGGTGGCACACGCCTGTAATCCCAGCACTTGGGAGGCTGAGGCAGGAGGATCGCTGTGAGTTCGAGACCAGCCTGGGCTACGCAGTGAGTTCCAGGGCAGTCTCAACTACATAGTGAGACCCTGTCTCAAAAATTAGTGAGACCCTGAAAAAAAAAAAAAAAAAAAAAAAAAAACCAACAAAATAAATATAATGAAATTAGGGTATTTGGCCAAAATCACAGAGCTAGCCAGAGTTTTAACCTGATTTCCAAAGTTTATGTTCTAAAAGCAACATCTTTGCTTTTAGGCTACAAAAATGTATTGAACACATATTTAGGACATGTGCTGGGTACTCTTTTAGATATAACGCAGAACATTATGGACTACATCATTGTTCTAATGAAGATTCTTTTTTTTTTATTTTAGTTGGGAGAACAGATGACAAAAAAACAAGTAAAAAATTCCAGGTAGTGCCTTGAGAAAATAAAGATTCACAAGGGATAAAGGAAGCTAGAGAATCACTTGAAAGTGGGCAACCTGGGAAGACCTTGTTAAATGACTGACATTTAAGGTGAGGTCTCAACAACAAGAAGGAACTAGAGAGGCCAAATTCTGGGATGAGAACATCTACTAAATAAAAATATTTTAAGCTTTTTTTATGGATTATCAGGACCACATTTCTGGTTTTGCTTTGTTGTTCATACTCACTGGATATGTTAGTCTCACTTCAAACAAAAAATTTAGAAAGTCAGCTTGAGGTAGGATCCTGATTTAGTTAAATAAATAAATATAGACAGTTAAATAAGGATGTCAGATAAACAACAAAATGTTTTTTTATGTAACTGTGTTCTAAATATTACATTGGACATATTTATATTAAAATTATTCATTGTTTACCTGGAATTCAAATTTAATTCCATTTTATCTTAACCTAGCTTGGAGAGCAGCAAAAGACTATAAATACTGTACTATGAATTACATTGGCAATGATGTTATTTACTTACAGGTAATCCATGCAGTGGTACTTTGAAAAAAATATCAGCGGTTGTTTTGTCTTGCTTTTGTTTTTTGCAGAGTTCCTTAAGGCTAATTTAGGTTTACAGTAAAATGTGTAGGCAAAAGAAAAAAAATCTACCTTATTTTTTAAGAGTCCTACTTCCTTCTTAATCATGGAAAATTACAAAAGCAAGATTTGTGGTGAGAAGATGGTTTTATTTCTGTTTTTAAACAAGAGGATCCAAAGACCAAGTGCTACAGAAAAAAATTATGTGATTCCTAGAGTCCTCTGAACAGCACTGCTGGAAATCAAGGGTTGGAAGAGTATATATACTTTTTTTTTGTTGTTTTTTTGAGACAGGGTCTCATTATGTAGTTGAGACTGACCTGGAACTCACTATGTAGCCCAAGCTAGTCTCAAACTCACAGAGATCCTCCTGCTTCAGCCTCTCGAGTGCTGGGATGACAGGCGTGCACCACCGTGCCCAGCTCAGTATATATACTTTTGATTTAAAGTCTTTGTTCACTTTAGAAACAAGGTTTTCACTCTCCCATGCACCACCATGCCCGGCTTAATTAATTTTTATTTTGAGATGGAGCTCTAACTTGTCCTCCTGCACCAGCCTTCCAGAGTTCTGGAATTATAGGCATGTGGCACAATACTTGGCTCTTTTTCTTCTTTTAAAAATTCTCCAGCCAGGCATGGTGGCTCACGCCTGTAATCCCAGCACTCGGGAGGCTGAGGCAGGAGGATCGCTGTGAGTTCATGACCAGCCTGGGCTACATAGTGAGTTCCAGGTCAGTCTCAACAACATAGTGAGACCCTGTCTCAAAAAAACAAAAAAAAGCAAACAAAAAAAATCTCCAATGCTAAAGGTGTAGGGAAAGTGGGAAGGGTAGGGGAAAGGTAATAAGGGAAAAGATAAAAATATGAGAAAATGAAAAAATGGAAATAAAATGTTTGTAAATGGGGAGGGGAGGAGGGAGTGAAGGGAGGGCAGAGACAAGGGGAAAAAATGAGAACCAAGACCACCTGTCATGTAAAGTTACAAGATCCCAATAATGAATGTAACTGTACTGTATATGTAGAATGTACCAATAAACTCCATGAGGGAAAAAAAAATCTCCAATGCTTGGCGGAGGTCCAGGCACAGAGTAGATGCTCAATGTGTGGCCACTGAAATGAACTGAACTTAGTAAATAGGGGCTTCCAGTCATGCAAAGATAGTCTCAAATAAGAATAATACAACTTATTCTTGTTGACAAATAAGGGTGGCTGTTGTTAAGAGTGATCAAAGAATGTAAGAATTTTTATTAAAGTTGGTTTAGTTGGGAGGGGATCAATTTTACTCCATTAAAACACTATAAATGTTAATGAAGATTAATGATCTATTTTGAATTTTCTGGAAAAAATAAGTGCTACATGAGTGAGTAATTTAGTTAGTTTCTTATTATTTTGCAAAAAGCACAAATGACCAAGTTGGAACCACACAGAGAATTCCTTATCCCTCTGTTCCCTATTTCTTGCTTACCATGATTGTCCACTTTCTGTTTTCTGCCTCTGGGAACACTAGTGATCGTGGAGAATAAAACACCTCATCATTCACTTCTTCTGCTTTTCGGGGCAAGCAGTGTAAAAATGTCCAGTCAGAGGCAGCCACCTTAGCAGTCTAAAGAGATGGGGATAAGACCATGCTTACACTACTGTATGCAGCAGTCATTTTGTCTCCTTCAACATTTAAAAACACATGGCCTGGGGTCAGAAAGCAATGCAAAGGGAGAAACAAATGGGCAGAGTAAAATTTTTAGCTCAAGGCACTAAGGGTAAGTATATATAATTATTTCAGTTTATGGAATTGTACAGCAAAATCTTTATTTGAGAAATTGTCATTCCACATTAAATCACTAACTTAGTTTTCTGATAGTCTGTCTAGTAGTGGGATATTGGACTTTTCAATAAATAGCTATCCTAATGTCATATGTGGTTGATAGCAAAAGTCATCAATCACACTCAAATATATAAAAGTTGCTCTGATATGATAGTATTATATTTTGAACTTCTCTCCAAATTATGATTTTTAGCACTTGAAACATACTCTGTCACTAATTAAGACAATTTTGAAGAAGCACCAAGTTAGGAGTGCATTAAACAGCATTATGAGCACTATTTTCCAGGTATTTCAGTCTTAATGCAAATGTACTAACTCTCAATTTTCTCTAAAAGTTAATTCCAGAAAGTTACATTTTCCCATCTATTTCCATTGTTCACTTATAGATTCCTAATGACATTTCTTCATACTTTGTTACCTCAAAATTACTGCCTTTGTACTAAAATTTTGTTTTTCCTCTGCCCTAGCTCTAAGTTCAGAACATTCTGAGTCTCTAAAATACTAGCAAAATGACATGAAAAGGAGTAACATTTATAGATGTCATATATCAGTAAAATGGCTGTTCTTTGAGCCATTTCACTGATTACTCAGAATGTTCTGAGTCTAGCACCAGAAAAACTCCTAATATTAATCAAGGTAAGTATAAGGTAGATCATAGATAATTTTAAATAGCTCATGAAAACATTTGCAACATATAAAGGAAAAGCCATAATATACAAAGAGCTCTCAAGGATGAAAAGGAAAGAAAAAAAATGATCAAAGGAGTGATTACAATTTTTAGAAAAAGAAATGAAAGTGGCCAATAAACATGAAAAGATGCTTACCTTCATTAGTAACCAGGAGAATGCAAATTTTAAAAAACACAAGATGATATTTTTCTTTAGATTTACAAAATTCAAAGATATAAACAACAACTAAGACTAGAAAATCTGTAGAGAAATGTGTATAATAGTGAGCTGTGGGAGTATAAATTGTTAATTCTTTTTGACAGTCAATTTAGCAGCATCTCCAATATTTTAAAAAGTATGTAACACATCGCCCCCAAATTTTTCCTTTAGGGATTTATTCTCCAGTAATACACAAAGAAATACATGTGTGCAGTGTTCGTTGCCACATTGTTTGCAAATGAAATATTTGGAAATAGTTTAATTTATAGAAACTTTATATATAGGTATATTGTGGTCTATATTACTTTGGAGAAAAATATTTAAATGAGGGGCCAGGGATGTAGTTCCACTGCCTGCCTCACAAGCACAAGGACCCAAGTTCGATCTCTGGTACCAAAAAAAGAGAAAGAAAAATATCTAAATGAATGGACAAGGAAATCTAAGATTTGTTAAATTTTAAAAGTCAGAATAATAGGTCTATAAAATGCCATTTATGAAAAATCAGCAGTTGTGTGTGCATGGTCATGCATATATAAATGGACAGAAGAGGTCTGCAAACAGTCATATCAAATTGTTTAAACGGTACCTACTGCTGGGAATAGTCATGGGTAAGAGGGTAGGAGCAACATTTTCACTCTTTTTGTTTTTCAAACTTTCATTGTATTTGAAATATAATAACAAGGAACTTGTATATATGCATTACTTTATTAGTAAAATATCTGTTGTGCTTAATCACTTTCTCCACCAAAGCAGATTATTTTGCTGACAAAACCCCAGTATGTGCCTGACTTTTAGGGCATTCTTCCAGGACAGTGGTTCTCAAAGTGTGGCCTGGGAGCAGGAGCACTGCACTGCCTGGGAACTAAGTAGAAATACAAATTCTCAGGGATCACTGAGAATTAGACTTCACCAGAACCCCCGGCAGGCGGAGGGGGAAAACCAGCTCTGTGTTAAAACCTCTTCCAATTGATTCTAATGCCTGCTCAAGATTGAGGCAAATTGCTCCTGATTTATCAGAAGGCTTCAGATTGAATGAGAATCCTTTGGGATACCCTGGAAGAAGTTGGCAAAACTAAATTGGCTGGAGGGGTCCTTTGAAAATATAAGCGAAGACTAGCCTTCAGAGCATAGCCATGAGGCCAGTTGTAGGGGAGAAATCAGAAGAATGCACATGAATTAGAGGTAACCCAATGTCTACAAACATACACAGAGAAAAGCACTCTAATACCTCTACGGCTATAAGAGGGGAAAGAGTGATTCTCTCTGCTGTCTGGATTTTAAATTCCTTTGTCCAGCACAAAAGTGTCTTTCCAAAAGGACACAGGTAATCTTTAGAAGGAAAGAAACTCCTGGGGTTACAACAGATCTTTTAGAGCAATGAAAGAACAGTTTGCTCTCCCATAGTGAATAAGTGATTAGATGGTTCTAGCCTTTATGAATGGAATTAATGAGCCTTCAGAGAGGAAGCAATTTGTACCTTCATTGTAATCTGGTAACCTTGGAAAGCCTTGAGCCGCATTTTCTTCTCCTCTTCTTGTCCCATGCTTATCCAAGTGTCTGTAATTAATACGTTAGCTCCTTGTGCTGCTTCCAATGGATCATTCATCAGTGACAGCTTGGTGCAATTCTAGCATAACAAGCATGCTGGTTAAACGACTTCATGGGGCAGAGAAAGGCAATTATAGTGTCACATATAAGGAGCATACCTCTTTGGCATACTGCTCAGCCAACTTGGTTACACTAGGATCCGGCTCATAACCCTGCAAAAGAAAGAATTCAATAGTTATTTGGGTCATTGTATTATAGATATTTTCTTAAACATGCACTATTTATTTTCAAGAAGAGTCACTCTCTCCTTCCTTTTATTTAAAGGTAACCCAACTATGTTAAGTGCAATACAATTTTTATATCTAGAATTTCAAACTTTCATAGTACCTTCTGGAATTTCAAAAAGACAACTAATTGCCCCATCTTTCTTTGGTTATCTCTGGCCTCTTTAGTGATAAATACAGAGTGTGGTGTTTTCTAGCTCTTGAAAGCTCTTCTTGTTCCCCTAATAATTTAGAATTATATATAATTGTGCAGTCTAATGCATTTTTGTCTGAGCCTTTCCAAATACTGTTTTTGTCTGGAATGCTTTTATCTGTTTTGTCTGGAATGCTTTTCCATGTAGATAATGTTTCAGGATCTCAGTTTGAATGACCCCTCCTCAGAAAAAAAAAAAATCTCCTTTACCACCCAGATAAATTCTAACAGGCACCTCATATACAGTTTATTCTTTTGCAGGGTGCCTGCTTTGAAATGCCATTCACACAATAGTATACTGTTTGTACTAAGATTAAGTATTTGTTCAGAATGGTCTGGGGAGGTGAAAAGGTGCCTAGGGCATAAAGTTTAAGGAGGCACTCAGTCTTGGGGTCCTACAAGCACACATTTTGCATTCTAGGTGCCTTGCTTCTCATCTTAATCCTAGGTGTGGGTGAGGGGATATTTTGGGGTAGCTGAAACTAGCCCAGCTATTCCAGGCCTTCATGAGCAACCTCTCCTCACTCTCCAATCTATTCTATACCAAATAGCAAGAATTGTTTTCTTTGACACCTTCCATGTTTACGACTTGTTTCTAAGTCAAAGTTAATAGCATCAAGACTCCCTGCCTATATCCCCTCCTTCTGTCTCTTTTAATTCTTCTCAACATCTTGCTACAGGAAAGCCTGTCTTCTTGTCACTGCTGAACACATCTTGCCCTTTCCTGCCATCACAGCCTTTCACCCTTGAACACCTTCCTCTTTGTCCCCTCTTGGGTATCTGCATCAGAAGGTGTCAGCGCCTCAACCCTCCAGCCCAGCCTCACCTCCAGACCCTCCATATGGAAATCTTGTCAGTTCAGACATCATAATTATGCTCACCTTCCTCTACCCTTCTTATTTTCTCAAATTCTTAGCATTTGTTACGCATTAGTTTTTATAAATTTTCAGTGGGGCACTGTGGTAAATGCTGTAACATGTCCTGTAGATCCCCCTTTATGAATAATCATGAATGAAGGACGTATTCCCTCTAGCTGCTGGGGTCTGCCAGAAGATGGCCTTCAGCTGTCAGACCCCTTTGGGCATTGCCTCTGTTGCAGAGAACTGCTTCACTCAAGGTCAAACACCCTTCTGAGGCCCCACAGTCAATGAGTGATTGACAAGAGGCTGTGAAAACCTGACCCCCTTCGGCCCACTCTGGGCAGCTCCACATGGCCATCTCAAACCCAGAGTATTCCATAATGTCAGCCAAGACTGGTGTTGCTTCTGCACAGTAGCTCAGCTTCTCTCTCTACCCACTCCTGCTTCCTTCATTTTTTTCCCACAGTTTTTTATTTCAAAGTCACACCACAATAAAGCTCAAATTCTGCCAACCAGGAAACCCAACCTGTGATAGACACTTCCAAGGTTTATCCATTTGTCCTTGCACTTACTTATACATGATTGGGTATCATAGTTCTCCCATTACGAAATTCTGGAGAAAAACTACTCAGGTGTTGATGATGATGGCTGCAGATTTTTTAAACAGTTTTACCACTCTCAAATGACCCTGAAGGCTAAGAGCCTTCTTTGTAGGGGCCTGGGGAAATTTTACTAACAAAGTCTTGCTAATTTAGTAACTGATGTTGTGAACAGTCATATTGGTAAATATAAATGAAGAGACTGGGATATTGCCCCATATGCCTCCTGCCTTGAAAATTTAGCTTTCCCTTTAGAAAGCAGGCTTTATACTCCCTAAGCATAATCACTCTTTGAGAAGGAATCGATAAGTACCTAGAGAACCATGAGAGAGGCTTGGAAATTAGAAAATCACCCAACCTTGCATGCACTGCGCCATGATTTAGAATACAGAGAGGAATTCTTTAGGCACATCTCAGCTTTCTATACTAAATCACTCCTTGGCCTTCCGTACATCTTGAAACCAGATGAACAGAGTGGTTAACAAACCCAGTTTTGTTACAATATTCACTTAGAACAATGTTAAAACCGTTACTTCTGATAGTTTATGGAGCAATTTGACAATCACAGAAAAAATTATTTTTTCTTGAACTTGTAAGTTATTATTCTAGGCTGAAAATGGAGAAATGGATTAGTTATAGTCTTGGAAACTTTTCAGTGTTTCTTAAATTTCCAATAAATTCCTTAGTTTTATCTTGAAAAGAAATAGGTCTGCTAACAACTGAAGATTTAAAAATTGATGGATTGACTTTTACATATACTTTCCACAGGATTTTTTAAACTCTTACTCCTACCAAGATTTAACTGGGTTTTGGTACTCTTTACATGTAAATGAGTTTCTGCATAAGAACAATACTAAAATTACCCCGCACTGGAATTTTTTCCTTTGATGTTAATAACACGTATTTGACGTGCAATAAAATGTTTAAACTATATATTTCTTCAACAGAATAAAGCCTTTCCAAAAGCACCTTATAGCAGAGAACAATTGTTGTTAATATATATTTTATCTGTTGAAAACAAATGCAACGATAGTTTGCATTAATCCAGGGCCTTTGTTCAAACTAGATTTGTAGTGAGAATGTGCTTATCTTTTCTCAGAAAAGGAAGAAAAGCCACTGTAATCACATGTCACATCTGACCTGTTATTTCAGCTCATATTCAGTTGAAGAGGAGAATTGCCTATTTTGAGGGCCATTACTCTGTGTCAATAAAATTTGTTGTAATAGGGCTCCCAGTACATGCTATTTCATATGTCTACCATTTCTTCTATGGCAGGTACACTTTGTTGAATACTATCCTCAAAATGTCACACTTTAGGCCTAGGAGTTCAGTTCGGTAGTGGAGTATTTGCCTAGCATATGTGAGGCCCTGAGCTCCATCTTCAGCACCACAGAAAGAAAAGAAAGAAAGAGAGTGGGGGGTGAAAGAAAGAAAGGAAAGAAAGAGGGGGGAGGGGAGGGGAGGAAAGGAAAGGGAAGGGGAAGAAAAAAGAAGGAAGGAAGAAAAGAAAGAAGAAAAAAAAATTCATGTCCACTCAGAACCCCAGAATGAGACCTTGTTTAGAAATGGGGTCTTTGCAGATATAATTGGTTAAGATGAGGTCCTCTGGATTAGGGTGGGCCTATTCTCAGTATCACGTGCATCCTCATAAGAGAGATACTTGTACAGAGAGACACACATGGACACAGAGGGAAGATAATGGAAGCAGAGATTGGAGTGATGCAGCCATAAATCAAGTAACAGACAAAATGTGGCCCTGCCAACACCTTCAGACTTTTAGTCTCCAAAACTTTGAGACAATAGATTTCTGTTGTTTTATGCCACCCAGTCTGTGGTAATTTGTCATGGCCACCCTAGGAAATTGAGAGAAGAATGAATTAACCCCAAAGTGGTTAGGCAAGAGCACTATGGAAAAATACTTAGTATTGTCTTATTTTGTTTTGCAGGTTGCAGCAGATAACGCTGGTGCCCTACCCAGATGCCCTCAGAGGATCCTTTTCTAAAGCTTTTTCTCTCTCCCGCAAATGAAGTATGTTTTCAATACCTAGTACTTGCTGCTGTTCAGAAGACAACCCTCTGGCCCCCAGGTTACTTTTCCTGCCAAAAGTGCCAAAGAACTTAGCACTCCACCTTCCCTGATGCCTTTGATGAATGACTGGTTCAGAAGGATGAAAGCCTACCATCCTCACCCTAGGTTGGACAACTCTGAGGCATAACTTCCACTCCGGGGCTCACCTGTGGGAAGCTACTTTCTATGGGTCTGAGTCAGACATGGCACTAGGGGGACCAAATCACTTGGGTTTGCTAGGATTTCCTCAATTTTAGCACCAGAAGCCCCTTTGTCTCCAGAAATTCTTCAGTCCTAGGGAAACAAGCAAGCTTGGTCACTGTAAACGGCCTCCTTATTAGAAGTCACCCCTTTCTCTATCCTATTCCCCCAGTCCCCTAATAGGTCTCCCTTAGAAGTAAATAAGCCCTATATGAATCCCCATTGGGGGAACTTTTTGTGGGGGAATCTGGCTTAAGATAATGGTAGGAGTAAGCGAGGTATGTAAAATGATTGAAAGACTTAAGCAATTGGGTATTTCCTAGTAAAGAAATTCATTCATCCACATTGCATAATTCATGTTCCCAGTGATTGGTAAATAAACATCTGGAGCTCAAGAAGCAAAAGCAGGGAAGGATTTTCAAGCTTCATGTATCCACTTCAGGGTTCTTTAGGTTCTCAGAGTGAGATAAGTGCAAACACATGTGTGGTCAGAAACACACCGATGCACAATAATTTGGAATCGTCATCTAATGAGAGGGTCAATCCTATCTTTTACCACAAATTAAGACTGTTTTGGAAATAGTTGCTGTTCAGGGGAAATTTCCTTTCAAAAGACTCCTTATAGGACACTAGTAGATAAAAAACATTATGGAGAAAAAAAATTCAGTAGAGATTGGGTATTTACAGAGTTCTGTGGGCACATTTTAGAGCTGGTTTGTGTTTGAATCTCTTGAAGGGTTTATTCTGATTTTCTAAGAGGCTTATTCTGTATGAGGTTGGGAGTATCTTGAATGGGGTTTCTCTTACTAAGTCTTATATTAGTGTAATTAATTATGTAAGTATTTGTTATTGTATAGAGTAAACATTGGCATGTTAATTAAATTAAAAATCATATAAACGTATATGTGATTAAAATAAGGTCTCCCTCCACTTCTCTCCTTGAATCTCTTAGTTCTCCTCTATTTTTGTTTGTTTTGCTTTTCGTGGGGCTGAGGATTAAACCCAAGGCCCTGGCCCTGGTGAACACTAGGCAAATACTCTACCTGTGAGCCACAGCCCAGCCTTCTAGATCTCTTTAGAGGCAACAACTCTTACCATTTCTTGTGTATTAAAAGGGCTAAAAGGGCTCTATGAAAGAAGTTAGGCTTCCCATAGATCAAAAACAGGGTAGAAAGTATGCAGGGGTCATGTTCACAGCTGTGTGGAACTCAGATTTAAAAAGCCAAAGGGCTCCTGGAGTTACGGTTTGAAACACTAAAGTGGTAGAGATGCCCCTGTGACCTTGACATTGGATTGACTTTTTTTTTTAACCAAATTGCAGTATTTTAAAAAATGACAGCATCGTTCCCGTATGCTGACAATCTATGCTGTTTTGCTTTCATCGCTTTCTTCAGTCTCTGTGGTGATAATGCACCAGGATGTCAGTCATCTTAATGGCCAGTATCCGGGCATTCAAAGGGAATGCAGACATGCTTTTAACACAGACTCACAGAATGAAAGGCATCAGCCAAGACTAGTGTTTATTGTAAAGATAGGAAATTGGGCTCTTAAGAGGCCAGAAAGCTTCGTAATAGTAGGGCTGGTAACATAAGATAAATTTTGTGGCCTTACTTATACTGTTCTTGAATGGAAAAGAGATTTGTTCTCACTAGGTGATTGCATCTGACTGAAGTGGGAAGTTCATTTTTAAACCAGAAAGTTTCCATACCTTTGGAGTAGCTACCTGAAGATGCATACCAAATTTTGCTGCACTCATCATGATGGAGTGAAGGATATTGTTCCCGTCCCCTATCCAGCTGAGGGTAAGACCTTTGAGAGAGCCATAGTGTTCCTAAAAGGCAAGGGATAAAGCAGATTAAATCCAGAAGGAAATCCACTCTTGTGAAACAATGATTAGGATTAAAGTAAAGGAAATAGCCTTTACCTACCTCAATTATAATGTCATGTTGGAAGGAAAAAGCTACTAAACTTTTCTGCATAGTACAGAAGAATTCAATAGCATGAATGCATATTCACAAAGCAATAGTAAGACCTCCTAATATCTCAAACCATAACATCATATGACCTACTACAGAGACTCGGATTTTCACACATTTCAAGTCTGAATCACAATTCAATTCGTTTCAACAAATGAGCAACATCAATGTTCAGACATCACCATTGGCCCTGGAGATATAACTAAAACAAAGGAGACAGACATCACTGCTCCCAAACAGCTTCGTTCTTTGGTTTAAGAAAGGGGAAAACAATTTACCTGGAACATGACATGGTGACCCTGAGCATATTCCCATTTATATAAAAAGTTGAAAACGTGCCCAACAATACTGTTGGTTGTTTATGGGTATAAAGGTATATTAAGTATAAACACACATCTGGGAATTATAAATACAAACATCAGGACAATAATGTCTTTGTGTAATGGGAGTAAGTGGTATTAGGCAGAGTTATGCATTTCTATCTATAACATATTAATTAAAAACAATAGTTCTAAACTCTTCCCCCATCACATTAAGATTTAACAAAACTGTGATGGACATAATGGGCATTTGAGTTATTTTTCTTGAAGTGTCTGTAGGTCCCACATATTTTGGATATTTATGTATTTATAAAGATAAGATTAAAAAGAGAGAAAGGCTACGTAATTTGGAGATTACAGAACTACTGGATGATTAAGCTAGAATTTAAATCGGAGTCCATCTGATTCAGATCCCATGGTCTTGATAAGCTGTTATTCATTTACTGAAATCCTATTTTAGTATCTCCTGTATAAAGGCATTGCACAAGGTCCTGTAGGGGACACTGGTGAGGAATAAAACGGCTCATTTTCCCTCAATGAATTTATAATTGACTAATGATAAAACCCCAAGGAGAAGCCTTAAATTATCTGGTATCTATGTAAAGCCACAACCACAGACAACAAGCTGGGATCTGATGTCACTGCTTCTCTTCTGCATGGATCTTGTTTTCATTTCTGAACAGTTTCATTTGAGATTGAACCTCACATTTAAATGTGTATAGTTTCTTCAAATGGGGAGGAAGATGGGCCTATCCAGTGCTCCTGCCTCCTCAGATTCATAGACACAATAACCACAGTTGTTAGGATTTCAAGTGGTAATACCATGTGGACTGGCTGAGGGAAACCAAGGGAAATAATTGTTTTAGTTATTCAAGGTCTTGATTTGGGAGCACATGGCTAAATTAGAGCCACTTCTCCATAAATCCTGCATGTTTTAACTCTACTTTTACACAACAAATTTATTAAAAATAATAGAAAATGACCTCCTTTTTAAAAGCGCTTTAGTAAATATTCAAAGCACGCTCCATTGGCCTTCACTCCCAAGCCACAGTCTCTGATTATGTAAGATCGCATAAAGCTTGTCCACTCTGTATGCTCCAGCATTCACTATTCATTCATTGTGTTAAATATGGCACCAAAAAGCACAGTGATTGAAAGAACAAGAGATGTGAGAGGAGACTGATGGGGACTGGGAACAGGATTTAGCTCAGAAAGATCTTATAGTCTGTTTCTAACAATGCCTTCTTTCCTTGGGATATGCAGTATGCACACATATACAATAATTCTTTGCCATGGTGATATTTGAAAATAGAAGACTAACACCTTCACTTAAGTAAACAGTTCCACTTAAGCTAGTCAAGTATTATTTGTTTATATCACTCTTTTGTAAGGCAAACTACGCCAACCTGGAGTGTGAGGTAATCAGCCAGGATCTGGATAGGATGATACATATCAGACAGCCCATTGACAATTGGGATGGATGCTTCTTTAGCCAGGATGTCCAGATCTGAATGGTTAAACACTCGAGCCAACACAGCATCTGTCATGCTAGATAACACACTGTGGCAAATAAAGAAAAGATAATATAAGTTAATTGTACTTAATAACTTCTTTAATACAAGAGCCTAAATAATTATTTAAAGTGCTAATACATTAGCATTTTCCTAAGTTATAACTACATATCAACAGGACAGATTTAAAAGCTAACATTAAACATTTAATCACTACAGAAGACAGATGTGGTTCTACCTACATTTTATTCAGTGACAAGCGATATCATATTATGGTTTATATCTACATATGCCACAAGATCCTCATGCACTCAAAGGTGAACCTTTTGGAAAGCGATTGGATTATGGGGGATTATAGCTGACATCTCTCAGGAGGGGGGGTCTGGTGGAAAGAAGTAGGTCGCTGAGGGCATGGCCTGGAAGAAGTTATCTCCCTTTCCAGCTCCTCCCTTTGCTCTCTGCTTCCTGGTCTCCTTGACATAAGCACCTTTTCCTCTGTTATGCTCCTCATCCATGTTGTTCTGCCCATGGATTGAAGCCTCTTCAAATTGTGGGCTGAAATAAACTCCTCCCTCCTTCAGTTATGGGTGACTAGTATTTTGTTCCAGCAATGAAGAAAGAGACAAAGACAGTATTTTTTATGGAAACAAATCAATTGTGGCCCCAAAACACATAATGACAAATTCTAATTGATAAATGGCCATTAAGTTAAAAAGGCGAAAACCAAAAGCAAGATATACAGAGAAACATTAAGGAAATGGCCTATGGCTAATTTTCTATTACATCATCCCATGAAAATTACACATTTTCCTTACAAAACTGACAGTGCCAGTGTAGCAGCCACAGAAATGCAGATACAGATGGCCTCCATGACAGAACATGCTGGGAGGAGAGGTGTTGGCTGACAGCCTCCTGCCAGCAGCACTGTGCTTTCCAGATCCACTGCAGCATCCTGCTAAAGCCAGACTCCCCCTGGGGTGTTCTCATCCCAATGATCCATGACTTCAATGACCAATGACCAAGTGTGACAGGGAAACTAGAGTTAGGCCGCACCTGCCTGTTTCAGGACCTCTATTTTAGGCAGCCTGTGCTCTTGGTTCCCCATTGGCCTGGTCTGGCTGAGACAGTCTCAGAATTGTGCTATGATCTGGGTTTCTCCATTACCCACCCTCCTTCCAGGTGGTCAGAAGTGCACCCAGTATGAAGACTCCTCTCCCAACTCCCTTGGGGTGCTCTGTCAGGAGTAGCCCAGCTCTAGTCTCCCTCCTGTTCCTTCCTTTATTCTTCAAAGGTGTTTCCCTTATACACCTCTTGCACTTGTCATTCCATCCTGGAGTTGGCTTATTAGTGGACCTGCCTGACATAGCCAACAATGAGCTCTGGTGCTTATAAAATTCATAGCTCACTCAAAAGACTCCTTGCCCCCAGAGATTAGAGGATAGAAGACTGAATACCATATTCTTGTAACAGTAAGTCTGAGAGTCTCATATTTGTTTTCAAATTCTTATAGATTTCTTATACCCATAGTTTCCAGATTTTCAGTTATAAATCAGCAAAATTTCCAAAACCATAGGAGTCTCAACTCCTTATTTAGCATATTGAGGACATGAGAAACAAGCAAATAGGTAACGTTTTTACAGTCACTTAATAAAAGAAAGTACATTTTTAACACATGCAAAAAAAGTTTATAAAGGGCAGAATTATAAAAAACAATCTTAGAAAAAAATCAAATGGTCTTCATGAAATTTCATATATTATTCTTAATCGGGGGATATCAAGATTTGCACTGCTCTGAAATATAGCACACCATATACAAGGCAAGGTGAGTTACTTTCTTCCTTTGGTACTGGGGATTGAACTCAGGTCCTTGAGCTTGCTAGGCAGGCACTGGAACCACTGAGCTAAATCCCCAGCCAAGGCAAGGTGATTTAAAGACTCATTTTATAATTTCTCTGGAAAAACAGATAATTTTGGTTAGCTTTTGGTTGTGGACTAAGGCAAGGAGTTTGCCAATCTTGCTGTACATGGAAGTCACTTGGAGAGTTTTAAAAACTATTGCTATTTAGGCCATATGCCATTAATTGTCAGAAAAATCAAAATCTCAAGGAGTATGACTTTTTGTTTAGATATAACATTTCTGTCCAAATTCTCCTGTGTGTGCAAGGTGATTGTATCAGGGAGCACTATACTCATCAGTGGATTCATCTCTTCTCTGTTTCTGGCCACCATAACATGAGCAGTCCACTCAGAGGTCTTGTCACCAGTTCAGGCTGTGGAGGTTCTCTTGAGATCCGGGCAACCCAAAGAAGAGATGCAGAACTTTGGCAAAAGTCTGAACCTGCCTTTATTCTCAATTGCTCAGCTCAGTCGTGTACACCTACATAGCAGTCTGCGGGCCCCTAGCCTGCTCATTCTCACAGCTGTATTTGGTAGCGCAGTCTCTCACCAGGACTCTTTACAGTCTAAATTTACACCAAAATACACAATAGTGGCATGTGCAAGTAGACCTTGGTTATATGTTATTTACCACAGCCAGCACTGACCTTGATTATATCAGTTATTTACACTGGGGCATCAGGACATGCACTTGTGCTGAAGTTCTACTGACACAGAACCCACTTGCTTCCACATTCCTCTCCCTTCCCAGCCTGAACCAAAGTACCACCATCTTTCTCTTTTGCGCTTTTTGACACCAGGCCCTTCCACCATGTAGTTTCTGCATCGGAGCCAGCCAATCACGGGATTTTAAACTGTGACCAAACATAAACCTCTCCTTTAAGTCGTGAGTGTTGGGAATTTTGCATTAATGATAGGAAAGTGACTAAGTCAGAGACATAAAGATCATTGCTTTAAAAAATTTCCCAGGAGATTCCGATTTGCAGCTACGGCAGAGAACCAAAGCTAGCAGTTGCTCCTCTGAACATCAGCATCACCTGCAAAAGAAGTACAGCAGGCTCCATTCAGATTTACTGAAGCAGAATCTGCATTTTAATAGGAATTCCAGGTAATTCACTTACATATTAAAATTTGAAACTCCTAATCAAGAAGGAATTGAGGGTACCATATTTTTTAAAATACAATCCATTTTTTTTCTTAGAATCTTAATCACACAAAAAAATCAACTAAACAAAACTTCTGAGATGGTAGCTACAATGACAGGGAGTGATTTCTAGGTCAATTGAAGGAAGAAGTCTTCTCAAATCTTCTGTGAAAAGAATAATTTGCCACTTTCCTTTACAGGCTCCTTCATTAGCATAATCAGCTATCCCAATCTATCTCATGCCTTGCAACAACAGTTCCTATAGTTTGGTGTGTATCAAAGCTAAGAGAACCATTAATAAAAGACACAGAATCCTAGACTCTAGATATAGTGTAGGCCTGGGTCGTTGTATGGTTACTGAGTTCCTTAAGTGATTTAGATAATCTTCCAAAGAACTACTAACATAAAGCATAGAATTTAAAAGAATTTTACACCTGCTTTTTCCCTTTTCAGGACCTTGGTACAAATCACCTTCCCAGTACAGATGTTCCAATGTACCATACTCCAGATATTCCTCATTTAATAACCTACTGTTTAACAACTGTTTGGACTTAAGGTCTGTCCTTTTTTTTTGTTTGTTTGTTTTTTGCACAGTTCTGCACATCTTGTTTATAGAGCCTTAATATATTTTTTTGTATAGCACACCTTGTTTATACAGTACTTTGTTGACTTTTATTATGCTGTAGTTTTATGTTGTATTATACTGTAGACCCCTGAAATATTACCAGAAACCTCTGTGGTAAAATCCAGTCTCCTGCCCAGTGTACGATGTAGGCCCAAGAAAAACAAAAACAAAAACCTCAAAGACAGAACTAAGAGAGACAGAAAGTGGGGTGCCATAATGACCAACGCCAGTACAACCAACAAAGGTACTAAGTCAGGCCAAGCCATTGATTTTTATTGGTAATCAATTGGGATAAATGTGAGCTATGTGCAAGGGTAGTACTATGTGTGAGGGTGCACAGTTGTGCAGTTACTATGGAAACTAATACAAAGCATTGCTTAAGATTAGGATAGGCAAAATATATGGTTGTGATTAGAACACTGTTCTAGTAAGAAGGTTTTAGTTGTGGGAATACAACTAGCAAGTTACTCTGACCTCAACACATAGGCATCTGCTGGGCACACTTCTATAAATAAGCCAATTGCGGGGTTAACTCTTTACAGCCTGCACTGCTTATAACCTGCTTTGGGGAATAATTAATATTGCAGCCTCCGGCACTGTTATACATTACAGTGCTGCATGTAAAAGTAATGTGAAATAGGAAGAAAAAGGCTAAAAGTGTAGGGGAAGTGAGAAGGGTAGGGGAAAGGAAATAAGGGACAAGAAAAAATATGAGAAAAGGAAAAAATGGAAGCAAAGACTTTGTAAATAGGGAAGGATGGAGGGAGTGAAGGGAGGGCAGGGACAAGGGGAAAAAGTAAGAACCAAGATCTGTCATGTAAAGGTACAAGATCCCAATGATGAATGTAACTGTATTGTATGCCTAAAATGTACCAATAAAGTCAATGAAAAAAAACCACAATAATATGTCAGGAAAAAAAGAGGCAAATGGAATACTACTCAGCCATAAAGAATGAGAAATTAGAGTCATTTAGGAAAATGTAAATACCAAATAGTTTCTCTGGTGTGAAAAACTATAATGGTACATAAGATCCTAATGGGATAATTGACAATGTGAAATAGGAAGAAAAGGGATAAAGGTGTAGGGGAAGTGGGATGGGTAGGGGAAAGGTAACAAGGGAAAAGGAAAAAATGAGAAAATGGAAATAAAGTGTTTGTAAATGGGGAGGGCAGGAGGGAGGTGAAGGGAGGGCAGGAACAAGGGGAAAAAATGAGAACCCAGACCTGCCATGTAAATGTACAAGATCCCAATAATGAATGTAACTGTACTGTATACCTAAAACGTACCAATAAACTCAATGAGAGAAAAGAGGCAAACAAAAACAAGGACACCAATTTGAAGTTTTCTTTGGCCATTTCTTTTTTCTGAGTATTGAAATGTACA